GTGATGATTGGGGTTTCATGCACATGCACGAGATGTGCCGCCCACAAATCTTGTTACGCCTTTGGTACATTACCCGTCTGACTTGAGAATAAAAAAAAAAAAAGAGTTTGAGGTTGCTGTGAGCTATGACGCCACCGCATGGTACACAAGGTGACAGAGTGAGACTCAATCTCGAAAAAGAAAAAAAGAAAAGAAAGTGGGGAGGTAGGTTCAAAATCATAAAATCAACGAAAGGATTCTAGAAAGCAAACCTTATCTGGGGAAATGAGGCAGCTTCTCAGATGAGAGAACACGAGGACGCTGACTCGGCACAGGCCGCCCTCGTAGTTTCCTTCTTGCTTTCTGACAAGTGTAGAGTTATTTCTCTAAATGCGCTAAAGGCTTCACCAGTAAAGGCGACTTCACGCTGAAAGCAGAGGATCGTAGTGTGACCCATCGACACGACAGCATTGACGGGATGTCAGCAGGTGCCAGAGGCAGCAACTACAGCCTAGTGGGCGCGGCCTCTGTCCTCAGGTGCTCACAGTCTGGAAAGGGGGCTGGGTGAAGGACACACAGACCCCGAAAGTAAGCAAGGAAGTTAGTATTCAAAATTGTGATAGGTACTATAAAGAAAACGTAAAGATGTGTGGCAGAGACTAACTGGAAGTGATGACCTCAGGATGAGCCGCCCTGTGAAGGGCCTAAACCAAAGGGGCCAGCTTTGTCCGATGAGACCCAGTGCTGCACAGCCCTAGGCTTGGTGTAGAGCTCTGCTGTCACCATCCTGAAATTCTTTTCTTTTTTTAATTTTAATTTCAGGTTATTGTGAGGACAAACAACCAATCACAGTATTTGAATTTGTTAGGTAGAGTCCCTCTTATAGTTGTGTCCCACACCCAAAAGGTGTGCCATACATCCCCACCTTGTGCCCTTTAAGTGAGACCACATGAACCTTCTATCCTCTACTCCCTTTGTCCCCGCTTCTCCCAACTTGAGTTTTTCTCTTATGTGGGCATGTGTTAAATGGCTTCATAATAAAATTGAGTACATTGGATACTTGCCTTTCCATTCTTGTGATACTTTACTAAGAAGAATGTGTTCCAACTCCATCCAGGTTAATACAAAAGATGTAAAATCTTTATTTATTTATTTTTTGAGACAGTCTCATTATGTCATCTGGTGGTGTCACAGCTCACAGCAACCTCAAACTCTTTGGCTTAAGCTATTCTCTTGTCTCAGCCTCCCAAGTAGCTGGGACTACAGGTGCTCTTCACAATTCCCAGCTATTTTTTGGTTGCAGTTGTCATTGTTGTTTGGCAGGCCCAGGCTGGATTCAAACTTACCAGCTTCAGTGTATGTGGCTGGCACCCTAACCATTGAGCCTCAGGTGCTGAGCCAAATCTCCATCTTTTTTAATAGCTGAATAGTATTCTATGGTGTACATATACCACAGCTTGTTAATCTATTCCTGGGTTGATAAGCATTTAGGCTGTTTCCACATCTTGGTGATTGTAAATTGAGCTTCAATAAACAGTCTAGTGCAAATGTCCTTATGATAAAATGATTTTTTTCTTCTGGGTAGATGCCCAGTAGTGGAATTGAGGGGTCAAATGGGAAATCTAATTTGAGTTCTCTGAGGATTCTCCATACTTCTTTCCAATTTAAAATTTTAATACATTGACCCAGAACATTGTGTTTTAATTTTGCATGCAGCCCAGACAGTTCTGGGGGAAAGCATTCCAGTTAGAAAGAACAGCAGATTCAGGGAAGAACCATCGTGTGGGAAGAACTGAAAGATGGTGAAGGAGGCTGAGGGGGAGAAATGAGGAGGCAGGTGGCAGGAAGTGGGGCCACAGGGAGGCAGGTTTAGAAGCTGTGGAAGTGGGCTCTCTGCTGTGGCCATGAATTCAAGACCATTCCCTTTAGAGATTCTCCTGGAGAGGGCTTTGGGACAACCCAACACTAGCACTGGGGATGAAGCCTCCGGAGAAGCTAACAAGATGTAGTGAGCGGCTGGACAACAGCCTCTGAGTGGAGGCCTCCTGCTGCTCCTCTCATCTGGAGGCAGAGACCCCTGGGGCCATGCTGAGATGACCCGCCTTCAGAGGCTCACCCTCAGGGTCCAAGCAGGTGCAGGCACCAAGGGTGGGACCTTCAAATGCCTACGAATTATTTTTCTCTACCTCCTTTCTTTAAAGGAATATCTCAAATCCAGTAGTCTTTCTTTGAAGAAAATCTAGCAGTTTAACAGAATCTATTTTGGTTTGAAGAAACAAAGTTGATTTATAAAGCTGGTTGGCTGGTACTAAGTTATGAATAGCAAATAACGCCATCAAGTGGCAAGTATCTGAAATCATTTGCAAGTTGGAAGTGTTTTCCACTATGTCTGGGGCAGGGCCATCTATACCTTTTAATTGTGTGAGAAGTGGCTATTTTTCCTTTTTCTCAAATCTTAAGATCACAGGAGATGGGTTTCACAGAGTTATCATAGAATTGATGGAGGACAGGAATTGGAGGACCAGCCAATTGTCTTTCCCCCTTGGGAATCCAGGGTACTGTTGGAGTGAAGGCTCAGAGCAGTCATGTGGGAACCACCTGCTGAGTGTTTATTTAATGTGTCTAAATCTGAGGTTCCTTACTAATGGGGGCCCTTAGACAAGTGGTCTTCCTGACAAAGTCCTACTCCTAGACAAGAGGGACAGGGCAGATGCAGAGATTGAACTGGTACAAAATGGCCTTGGTAGATTGCTGATCATATCTGCTCAACACCTGCCCTATCTGTCTAGGGACGGGAAGTGCTTAGCAGGCAGGCATCCCTCTACTCCCGTGTTTTTCAACCTTTTTAATCTCATGACACACTTGAACTTGTAGTTAAGCTTCCACGGCATACTTAAATTATGTTCATCAAAAAAAAAAAAAAGAGTGAAATGTTTTGAACTTCTTTCAAAAATAATTTAATTAATGACCTTTAAAAATTTTTGTGGCACATCTATGATCCTCTCATGGCATGCCAATGTGCCACGACACACTGGTTGGAAGTCACTGCCCTACTCACTCAAGGAAATAATGGAAGTGATAGTGGCTATTCTTCAATACCTGCCACACACTTTTTACATGCAGTCTCTCACTTAGTTCTCTCACATCACTCTCTCACATCAAGTAAATAGTTGTTCTACAGAGAGCTTTAAGAAGTTATGGAAGTTACCTAAGGACTGAGGTCTTCCTGCCAGTGACCAAGTGGGACCCTGGAATTTGCATTTAGTCTTCCTGAAGCCCAAGACCATCCTTCCAATGATCACCCTCACTAAGGAAGCCTCTTCTCTCACGTGTCACAGAGCTGAGTGGACCGGGTGGCAGTCAGCATTTTGTCTTCTTTCGACTGGCTCATTCCTGATTGGCCCAGTGTTCCCGAGAAGCAGATGGAGCAGACACAAGTGTCCTGCTGAGCTCAATAGAGACACCCAAAACCTGCTCCATCAGACTTCTCCACGTGACATACTGTGAGAGAGTCAGAAATGTTATTAAAACCAGAGCACTAAACGGCAAAGATACCACAGCCTGATGCAATGAAAAGAGGCTGAGATTGGTTGTTATGTTTAAAAAATGCCGTCCAGTTCAGCACAATGAGTTTTGCTTTAAATACCAGATGGCTGCAGCTATCCAGCCAGATTCCCCGGGATCTAAGACTTCCTTGGCAATAAACTGGGCACTGAAGGAGATGCGTTAACTCTTTCTGACTTTCAATATGTTGACTATCAAAAGGCATCTTTAGGGTGTTCAAAGTCTTAAAGACTCATTTGAAAATTACCTAAATGCATATGAAAAGATAAGATTTTATTAAAGTTAAGAAGTAATTCACTAGCCAGGAAACTAAAATAACACCTTAGACATGGCAAAGAATTCCTCTAAGTTAGGTTTAACTGTGGCCGCTGAGGTGACTGAAAATAATCATCTAGCCACACTGGCCTTTTCTCCCCTGACTTTGGGCAGCCCTTTCCATCCTCTGGACTTTTGCAAACGTGTCTCCTGTGCCTGGAAGGCGTGCTGAGCCCACTCCAGGGTGCACTTGTCTTTTTCTTGTACTCTCCGTCTCTGCTCAGATGCGAACATCTTCAGAGGCTGTTTCCTTAATAACTGTTCTCTGTCACTCACCTCAAACCACTTTGCCCAGTTTATTCTCTCTGAAGCATTTCTCACTACATGGGCTTTTTTTGGGTCATTTATATGTTTATTTCCTGCTTCTTCTAGAATGTAATCACTGTGAGGGTCAGACCTCGCATGTTTGGTTCAGTGTTGTGTCCCAGCTGCCAGGTACTTTCAGGGAATCAATAAATAATTATTAAGAGAATTAGTGATGGACTATCTCTTGATATTTGATAATCATTTAAAATAGCAAATATCTTAAATAAAAAAATCCAAATTTTATCTTTATGATTGATCTTCCTCTTAATAATTATGAATCTTTCATTTCTAAAACAGAAGTAGAGCCACATGTTATAACTTATAAGAAACAGCAATCAGATTGGGGGACTGTGGATTTTTTCCCTTTTAAAGAAAAGTGATAATACGTGTACACTGTTGCATGGAAATTTAAGGTAGAGATAGTCTTGAAGCAATAAAGATGTTGAGTGGTCTTCACATTTGTGTGAGAGAAAAAAGTACAGGCAGAAAGAGCAGAAACTTTGTCTATTACTATTGAGAGCTTGTGTTGAAGGATTCTGAACTGTGATAATAGTGCAGGCGAGGAGAGGGGGTGGGAGGGGGGCAACTAGCCTGACAAACTCTGGGGAATAAAGAGAGTAATATTGTAGTTTTTACTGGAATTTAAGTTTGTAAATTCTTCATTGTGTAATTATTCCTGGAAGATACAAGCTGGGTTATATTTTATAAGACTTTAGCTAGATTGTTGGTAGCAAAAATAAATTCAGCATTCTGGTATAATTAGGCTAAAAGGGACCAAGATAATGGTACCGGTCTTTCTTTCTTTCTTTTTTTTTTAAAATCACAAATAGGATTCTTTATTTGTCATTATTAAAAGCCTGAATTTTAGACGAATTCTTGGACTGTAGTTCATATCCATCAGCTCGTTCAACTTTAGCACCTGTCTCGTCCCCAGTAGCTTTTCCAGAACTACGACCTTCACCATGAAGCTCCATGAGTTTTCCTGACCCAAACTTGGGTTTCTTCAGCATTTTTACTTTTCTAAAGAAGACATCATGGAGAGGATAAATAGACTGGCGTGCCTTTTCTATGTCTTTTCCAATGCTATCTGGAATCAATTTATTGACAACTTCTTTCAAGTCATTTGTCTGCACCTCTGTGGTCATGATTTCCATCATTTTCTTCTGGATTTGGCGAACCTGTTGGTGCTGGGCGTAAGAGGTCTTCCCTATCTGATTGTTGCGTTTTTTAGTAAAAGCAACACAGAACAGACGAAGCAAATAATCATCGGTAGTCTTAACTGAACATCTTCAGTAATCAGCTTGAATTTTCTAAATGCAACTTCATCATTCTGCAGATCAGCAAGACTCACTTCAAACACACGACCTTTGAGGCCATCAGATGCAATTTTGGTTCCTTGCATCCTGGTGACTAGTGTTTTCCCAATATTTCTTAGAAATCGTTTCACATCATACCAATCTTTCTTAGAAAATGGATCAACTACTTTCTTCTTGGCTCCCTTTTTGCTGCCTTTCGTAAGGTGCTTGTTCTTGCCGACCGCCATGATGGTGCTCAGCGAGCCAAAATGGCACTGGTCTTTCAAAGGATTTGGAGAAAGATAAATTCCATAGGATGTAAATTAAAAGCCTGAAACTTTGCACTAAGTATCGGGGTAATTAAAAGCATATTTAACTAAGAAGGAGGAAGGGCCCTGGGCTTCAGGAAGGGAGAAATTAGTGGCATTGAGAATATGAAGTGCTGGCTGTCTTTATGTTAAGGTTTTTCTCACGAATGGAGTGACACTAATACCGTATAAAATATTATGATAGATGGAGAAACCAAGCTTTTAACTATCCCAATTTCTTTCCTTTGTTCCTATATTCCTAATAAAAATAAAAAATGAAGCTTACATTTTGAATCAATAAGCTTGCCTAGCCCCCAGAATATGGCATCTGCATCTATCTTGTTATGAATGAGAAAGTGTCTTATTTGAAATTCGTTGCCTGCTTGAATATTATTCATTTTTCTTTTGATAATTGAAGCGCTTTCATTGCAAGCCAATTCTCCCACACTTCATTTTAAATCCCACTGAAAAGCTGGGCAGAATCCCTATTTAGGCCCTCTGCAGCACTGTGGCAAACGACAGAGCGTTACCCCAGGCTACTGTTTTGGCTTCACGGGGCACATTCTCCTTCCTTTGGGTAATACACCACATTTTCCTGGGGAACCTGACCCAGGACTGGCCACATCCTGTTCTCTGGTTGAAGTGTCTAGTTGGGGGTAGGCACATGACCCACGCTGCTCTTATCAGAACTGGTCTTTGGACTTTTTCAGGAGCAAGGAGCATGGAGCTTGGACTTGCAGCAGGTTAACCTGGTGGGAAGAAGCCCACCACAAGGGATAAAGCACCACAAGAGATGGCACAGCACGGATGCAGACAGGACACTTCCTAATGATTGTTACTGAGTAGCTAAATCCAGCCCATCTCATGCCCTCTGGATAGACAGTCATCTGTCCCCGAGGTTCAGTGTCAGTTCATGGACCAATGACTGTCCAAAATAACATTATTACTCATTCATGGTGAAGTAAAAAAAACTCAGGTTAAGGCAAAGGATTTTCAAAAGAAGGTAGCTTTTCAATGTGAAGAATTGCTCTTGTTTCTAAGATTGTAGGCTTGCTACATTTTTGATGTTAAATTGCTCTTTCTGATAATAGATGGTATTTTTAATGTCTATATTTAGAATGTAAATTGTGGTAAATAATGCCAGCTTCTGTAATCCCAGATATCAGGGAATTAATCCAGTAAATTTATGTCTTAAGTAAATACTGAATGTAGGGAGAATTCTCAAGTTTGCTCAGGGACCCAGCCTGGCCCTATATGGTGGCTCTAACCACACCCAGCTTCCCCAAAGTTTTTTCATCCAGCTGGCAAATGTAGGAAGAGAAGGAAGATTGCTGGAGGGAGGATTTTATTGGACAGGCCTGGAAGTGAAGTACAATTACTTCTGTTCTTATTCCATTGCTAGAACTCACCACGTAGCCAAGCCCAAAAGCAAACAGTCCTGGGAAATACAGTTTAGCTTTGCGCCAGGGAGGAAGAAGAAGCAGGTTTAGTGACAATTAGCCAATGCCTCCCACATTTGGCAAAATTAAGTTCCAAGCCTTCTGTTATATCTCCTTTTATTCTTTGAAAATTCAGTAGTCTACAAATCCAAAAAAATCTGGTAACTACTGATCTACTTCAATCCTTTCATTTTGCAAATGAAAAGGCTTAATTAGAAAAGGCAAAATGACTTGCCCAAGATAGCACAGCTATAACATTGCTCATCTGTAGTGATGTAAATGAACCGAAGCCCAGGCAGACAGCTTCCATTTAGCTGGTGGTATCAAATGTCAATCACTCAAGTCATTCCTATGTTGTCAGTTGAATTGTGCCTCCAAAAACAGTGTGCTAAAGCCCTCCAGTATCTCAGAATAGAACCTCTTTATGAAATAGGGTATTCTCAAGGGTAATCAAGTTCAAATGACATCATCAGGATGGCCCCTAATCCAATATGACTGATGTCCTTATAAAAAGAGGGAATTTGGGCACACACACACACACACACACACACGCACACACGGCTGGAAGATGATGTGAAGAAGACACACACAGGATGAGTCTCGAGCCAAAGAATGTCCAAGGCTGCCAGAAGTGAAGGGTGACGTGGAACAGATTCTGCCTCACAGCCTGAGAAGCAAGCAGCCCTGCTGATACCCTGATCTTAGCCTTCCCAGACTCCAGAACTGTGATGTCATTTATCGCTATTGTTTGAGCCACCAGCTTGTGTCAGCCGTAGGTAACCTATACAACCTTCATGATTTTTGCGATATTTGTGAACATCTTGTGCTAAATTATTACTTACAGTCTTTTCCTAAGATGACTCACTGTAAAAATTTAAATGAATTTACAGCCCTGAGTCTCTTGGCATATAACTGGGCCTGTCTGCACCCCCATGTCCTTGTGTCTTCTGTTCGGATTGAGACATCCCTATTGGCCTCCCTTCTGGGCAGACTGAGGTAGGAGGATGTGAGGTCCCTCCAGAAAGGGGAGCAGCAGAACAATGGCTGATCTAATCCGGGGATGGTTTGATTGCTGCACTGTATCAGAATTTCCTTGACTCTGAACTCACATAGGTACAGGGGGGCAGGGAGTAGGGGGTGCAGGGTGTCAGGGCCTCCTGGTGATCCTGAGGTGCCAGGCGTAGCGCTGACTGTGGGAGATGAGGGCTGGTACTAGATCTCTTACTCTCTCGTGTTGGAAGTAAGTCCAACCTCCATTTAAATGTGTGGTTTTCAACTGTTAAAACTTAAAATAATTTTCTTCATATCAACTAAAATCATATAATACTCCAATGTTACATGGTCCTCATTTTGGGAACATTGCCCCAGGTTGACAGCTCCTGGCTGAATGTGGGTTAGAGCTTCTGCTCTCCATGCCTCTGTTTTTTTATTTTCTTAATTTCAGTTTAATATGTGGGTACAATTTGCTTACGTTGTTTGCATTTGTTAGATAAAGTTCCTGTTGTGTTTGTGCCCCTCACCCAGGAGGTGTGCCATATGCACTTACATTGTGCCCATTAGGTGGGAGCTCACCCATCCCCTCCCTTCTCCCTCCAAATTGAATAGAATTGAATCTTTCTCTCATGTGGGTGTGTATTAGATTGTTTACTGGCTTCATATTAGAATTGCGTACATTGGATTTTCATTTTTTCATTTTTCATTCTTGTAATACTTTACTGAGGAGAATGTTCTCCAACTCCATACAGGTTAATACAAAAGATGTACAGTCTCCATCTTTTTATGGGTGAATAGTATTCCATGGTACACACATACCACAGTTTATTAACCCATTTCTGGGTCGGGGGCCCCTTCTCCATGCCTGTGTTCACCCTGCCTTTCCTGCCTGCAGTGGCCTCACTTCTTTCTGGTATCTAAACTCCTTAATGCCCAACAATATCTCTTCCTTTATGAAACTTTTCCAGCAGAGTATTTGTCTGTCTTGCTCCGCGGCACCTGTTTTGCCCTTCCTGCATTGACTCTAACTCCCAGACTGCACTGCTTCCCTTTTGCGGCCTGGTCGGAGGTCATTGTCTACATTTCCTCTGACCCATATCATACACGTCTCTATGCCCTATGCATGTTTTCATGATTAAACATTTATTGAGCAAGGGTGTGGCAGATGCAATAAATGAAGTAAAGAAAAAAAATTAGTGCTGTTCGGCATCTCAATCTAATCTTTTTAAAAATAATCAACTTTCATAAAGGTGTAAGGTGCTATGGATGCTGGTAAAGTGAGAACTGAATTAGGAGATAGCAAATGGGTCGACCTATCCTTGTGTCTTAGGATTCAGGACAAATTCTAAAATGGTCGAGGAAACAGAAAGGTGAAAGACGGCAGGCAGTCAGTAAAGGGAGATTGCTTTAGTTGTGTAGAAAAACTGGAACAAAATTGAAGATATAATAAAGTATAATTTCTTAGTCCATTTTCCCAACTGAGTAGAGTATTCAATTTGTAACCTTGTTGGCCTCTTCTCATTTCTGGGACAGTCGCTTGCTCCTGGGCAGTTCAGTCAGGGGATGTCTCTTTGCTTCTCAAAGGTCATCCATTAAGGTCAGATGGGGGAGAAAGCTGAAGCCAGATGATGACATGGTGCGGGTCCTGCAGGAGCGTTCACCTTGCTCCCTTCCAGGAGGTACAGAGGTGTGTCAGGCTTGTTCTCTCATTACCAATGTCCTTTAGTTCACTTTGGCTTTAAGAAAGGACATTTCTTAGGAAGTAGCATCTGCTGAAAAAATGCAACATTTTATTTCATTTCAATTAATGCCATTGGAATATATAGATTTTAAAAATAGCTAATTTTTTATTCTGTTCATCTTATTTCAACTAGGGAACTGAACATTTTAAATAATTGGGAAAATTAGTAGAGAGTTAAAAAAATCTATGCATTCAGCTTTAAAAAATTTAAGTGGGGGAGTGAAGAATGAGAGCTAAGCATTTTTGAGCACTTATCCTATGCTAAATGGTGTCATACATGCATTCACTCATTCTTTATTTTTCAAATAGGCAATACATTGGATGGTTTAAAGTGTGAATGGCGCAGAGTGGTTACACAGTGGGGTTCTCTCTAATCTCTGTCCTTCAGCTGCCCAGTGCCCTCCAGTGTTCAACAAACTGATAAGATCCTTGTCTGTCTTTAAAGAACTACTTCCCACATATTAATTTAAATAATGTATATAACAAATATATACTATATTTAATATTAACATCTTTTCCTTAAAAACACACACATGATGAATCACATGCTCTTCTTTTTGTACCTCTCTTTCTCATGAACAGTTTATTTTGATGATCGATCCATATCAGTCTACAAGAATGTCCTCATTTTTTACAGCCTTATAATTTTTTGTTTGTGTGGATGTGGATTTTTTGAAGCAGTTCTCTACTTTTGTTGATTTATAGTTATTTCTAAGCCTCTGTAATTACAATCCTATAATGAACAACCATGCACATAATGTCACTTT